AAAAATTCGAAGCGAAAAACTACCAATTATCGACATCCTGATTCACTAGCAACAAGCATCCGAGGGAACACCCAATTTGAAAAACTGTGCAAAAACTATCCTCCCATAAACAACTCTGCCAGGTCTGAGCGGCCCGAATAAGATGAAACTTGGTAGGACGGTTCATCAAGAATAGAACCTGTCAAGCACCAGCTTAAACCTATGTTTTTAACAAACTGTCAATAACATAAGAGAATTGCCGACACGTCTTACAATTGTTCTACTCCGGATTTTGTGCGACATTATCGAAATACCGACTCTACATCGAGCTCCCATAATTGACAGCCTACCAAGAAACTATACAACAAGCGATCTGCGACCATGGTCCCCACCACTTTCTATCTCCCATAAATAAACGTTCACGCTCCGCTGCCAGGTGATACGGAATATGATGAAACTTAGGATAGGGTTGCAATCGAATAAGTAACTTAACATGTTTTTTGGGTCCTGGTTGCGCTACCACGTTCTTTTGTTCTTGAGTGCGAGATTCTGAAACGAGCCTAGTGATCGAGCTCTATACTGGTAAGCCTTATATAACAGCGAATTCGGAATGTCTATATTATCCCTAAATAAACACGTTCTCTGCCAGGCTGAGATCGGACACACAACGTAAGCAAGATCATGAAACTTGGTGGGGCTGCGACTAGAAAATAATGTGACTTAACATGTATTTCTGGGTCTGGTTGCCGACTTTACATCTCTGGATCTCCACTCTACGTCTACTCATCCCCCTTCTCCGTTGTTCTCCAAGCCCAGAAATCGCCTCACCGGGGCTTACCAAGATCGAGCCCCCACGCCTGTTCGCCGCCCCTCACGCCGATACGGGGACGCGAAGTCACTCAGCCATTCACCCATCCACAGCGCGAGTCAAGAGATCGTCAGGAAAATCGCAACCCAGACCCAAAAAAACATGTAAGTACAATCCTATTTCTAGCAAAACCCACCAACGTTTCATCTCTATTCCAACGCTCCAGCCTGGCAGACCGTTATTTAGGGAGATAGACATCGAATTCGCTCTATAAGGCTTCAGTAAGGAGCTCAAAATAGGGTCTTTCAGAACTTCGCACAAAACCCCAAAAAATTCCGCCAACCAGACCCAAAAAAACATGTTAAGTACCATTATTTCTAGCAACCCTACCAAGTTTTCACTCATATTCCCGATCAAGCCTGGCAGACGTTACATTAGGGAGATTAGGACATTCGAAGATCCGCTGTATAGGCTTCAGTATGGAGCTCGAATAGGAAGGATCCGTTTCATAAATCGCACAAACCAACCAGAAAATCGCAACGAGACCAAAAAACATGTTAAGTACATATATTTCTGCAACCCTACCAAAGTTTCATCTTATTCCGCTCAGCCTGCGCAAGACGTTATTTAGGGGAGATAGTTTTTGCAAGTATTCTGTATCCCAACCCTATTGCCAGGCGTTACGCTCCACTTTCAGTAAGTACAACTAGCATCCTATGTTCTGCCAACCATCCTAGCATTCACAACAGGATGTTCGAAATTGGTAGTTTTTCCCTTGAATTTGCTGAAAAGTTGAAGGAAAGGTACGTTTCATGTTGTTTTGAGTTGATTTCGCTAACTTGTTTCTTCCTTAGCGCCTGAAATCAGTTCAAATCAGGTTGTGATGTTTCACTGCGAATGTCTATTTTACGCGAACATTTAGGCCGTGTACAAAAATTTTCGATGTTTTGCCTTACCTTTTAAAGCATAGCGCGTCTTAATATAAACAAGATACACGAATCGACAGAGAATCCAGCCAAGTTTCCCAATATGAAATATTTTTTCATTATCTTTTATGGTTTTTTTGTAAGAAGCAATCAAAGTCCGAATGTATACTCGAATGTCTAACTGAATGTCTAATCGAATGTCGCTCGCTAAATAGCGGACCGATTGCACTCTTGTATACCCAAGTGATGTGCATGGCTTTGAGAGTGGCCCAACTTTACACCTTCTTTTCAAAGATGCCAAAATTACTTATAAATAGAAAAATATGTGGTGTGAAAAAAAATTGACGGTCTCACATTAACACTACTGCTCAGCAGGCGGTTTAGGGGGCCTCCCTCATTCAAGAGCGGAGCCAGCCCCTGGGCACCAGAGCAACTAGGTCTAATTTAAAAGGCAAAATGCCCTGGAATCTATCATGTCCATTTTTTCAACCACCAAAAATAAAAAAAACCGATACTTTGCCCAAGAAAGTCGATTTTTCCCGCTAAGCAAGACTGATACATCTTGATTGGTGAAAAGCCTCAATTGGACGTCCATCTCTTGTGGAGCGGAATTTTTGAGGTTCCTAGGTTTCTAGGTCTTGCAATAATTCTGAGGGTAGTGCCAGACTTGGGAAATTTTTCAAATGTTTAGCCAGCTTTGATTTCATCAAAAATTTAGCCCTTTATAAGTTTTTCAAAGTTCAAAATTTTAATTTTCTCGAGCAAATCCAACACGCAGTATATTTTATATTTTGAATACCAATAATTTTCACCCCCAGTGCACCTCTTCCTTATAGGTAAAAAAAATTTGGAATATTCTCCTTCACAACTTCCAACCACATCCACTTTCTTCCCATTCCAGCATTTATGTGGCATAGTAATCTAACATCTAGTGTTTACAGACTTTTTGTGTCACACTAATATGCGAAAACTTGAATTGGTGAGATTTGGCAAAATATTTGCATAACAAAGAGCCTTGCATATTTGTGTGGCATGAACAACATACTTGAAAATCATCCTGTTCACGGTCTAGGGCGGCCTTTGAATTTCTAATATATTGAATTAAATCGTAGCATCATTGGGGGTGAGAATGATCAAGGCGATGACTGTGTTTATTGGGTAAGCAAGCAATGAAAAACCATGAGATAGTTGGTCCCACTTCTGTCCCATTTAATTTATGCATCTATAATAAGAAACTGGAATATATAGTAATCAAAAATAGTCAACGATTAAATTTATTTTTGCATGCACTTTCTATTAATGTTATTTCTTGTTATCTAATGTGTCAAAGACTGTACCATTTTATCAATTATAGACTTGAGATAACAGTTGAACTATATTAGGAAAAAACAACTAACCAACTCAGGCTTCCGTCGGAAAGGTGTGCGATCGCACGCGCACGCCCTGGCGCACGCCTGCTGCTTTCCAGGAGTGCATAACATTGCACGCCTTCTTTTATTATCGAAGCAAAATTCATAATTATTGGTTTTGTGGGTTTTTGAGATGAGTTAATAAATTGATCCCTCCTTGGTACTATTACTTCATGCCACTTCAAAAAGGCTTAACACCTTTTCAGGATTGCCGATTAAATATAAAATTTTGAAATAATCATAGAACTAATCTACAGTGGAATCCCGATATTATGAAACATTAAGTGTTTAGAACAAGACTTTCATTTTCTATCGCTAATGTACGAAAGTAGCCGATTATGCGATAAAAAGGAGCCGATTTGCCAATGATGCGGAAAAAAATAACAGAGGATTTGCTGGATTTCGCTACCCCCTACAGCCCCCTCTTTAGACATCGCTATGCTTTAAATCTAGATTTTAGCAACATTTGATTTAATGAAAATTGGGCCATCATGATCTTTTATGTATCTGGCCAGTGAGGTACACAAAATAGCTGTCATGTTTGATAACAAAGGGCTCTCGATGCACTGATTTACACGAAAAAACTGCCATTACAACCAGATGAACGCCAAATCATCAATAATTCTGCTAAGGATTCATTATTGAAGCTAATGAAAACTGCTCACGACATGGCAAACATATTTCTATACTTGTAGTGCCGTTTTTTTTGAATATATTAAATAAGCTCAGTTTATACTTGTTTAGAAAATTGCTCAATTGCTAAAATGTAAGTAGTCATGGTATTCAGCGAAGTAAATTTCATTGAAATTTTTGCAGTCATCATTTTCGTGTTGGCCATTTCTATGTAGATCTACCATAATTACCAAAATGTTTTGTGAAAAAATGTCACACGCCATCACACGCCTGGATGTTTTCAGGGGTGTGGTGGTTAGCACGCCTGCTTTATTTTTCCCACGAAAGCCTGCAACTGAATTTGCTTCGTAATAGGTACCTATGAGGCCCACAGAGTAAAATAAGAGAATTAAATGTTCTCCTGGATACTTGGCTATCTAGTACAGCTTGACTGGCCAGTATGCCCTTAGTGATATCCCCAACAATTTAAGTTTGTCGCCATGCCACTGATGCTAGAAGAAGTATTTGTAATTCAACACAGCAAATTGTTCTTCTAATAGGGCAATTTCTTAAATTTATTTAGTTGCTCCTCAAAATGAAGACTAGTGAAATAGTTATCAAAAAGCTATCAAAAAGTGAAAAAGAGATCCAGATCATTTCAACTGAAAACATGTTAGAAATTTTATAAAAATGAAATAAACAGGATACAATTTCTACCTCCTCTACTTTATGGTTTCATTACCTCCTATTAAATATTATCGAGCACAATATATAAGATCTATTGTAAAGCAATGCTATGTAACTTTTATTTCATATCTTATTTACCAAGGATCCTGTGTCAGATGAAGTTCAAGAAAATGATGCAAATGATAAGGCAGAGAGTGAAGGCAATCAAAAGGTATCATAAATGAGTTTATGGCAATATTAAGAAATTATTTTAAACTTAGGAGATATTTGTCTTATATTTGGCGAATTTTCATTTCTTTCTTGAGTTTTTTTGACTTACACTAACTTAAAATTAAAACAAAACAGAACTTAAAATTTGGGCTAAATTAATTTACAATGAACACCTATTATGACCTTAGAGTAACCATATATGCATTATTTTATGTAACTGTTTTCATTACAAAAACATACATTTTTGCAGTGTTAACTTGCACAATATTTTACCTAATATAGATTCAAATAAAGAGAGGGGGATTCTTTCAAAGTGTATGTATGCAAAGAGGGGAGATTCACTGGGAAAGCACCACTGCGTACAAGAGAGAATGGGGCCTGAAAAATATTGATTTTTATGCGTACATACTTTGTGAATGACCCCAAAGCTCAAGCTTTGTTAGATATTTTGGAAATTTTTGCCCCCCCCCCAAGAAAAAATTAATGAATTCCCTCTGGGCCCCAGAACCAATTCTATGGTTGCTTAGCATTATTTTGTACAATAATCATTATGATCGGCAGGTGTAAACCATGTAGACCTTTCAGGAGTTGCATACATGATTGGACCTTGCACTTTGGTGTATGGAACAGAAAATTCCAAGATGCATCTCTGCAACTGTAGTCATGTACAGCTCTGTCATCCAGCATCTAGCACTATATGACAAACCAATCAATAGGTTGTGTGCAGACTATCGATCAGGAGCTGTATTCAGACTAACTTTTTTTATTTCTTTATCTAAAGTTAGTACAATATCCAGCTACACTAATATACCTAGAATAAAGCTAGAATAAAGCTATAAGCATTAAAAGTCATAATATTTGATCAAGAATTGACATATTCTTTTTTATACTTTTTTAAGTTGGCAGAAAGTTTAACCCTAGGCCAGGTTTCAGAAGGAGCTGCATCTTTCAAATTGCTAGATTGATATGTACACATTAGCCTACAGCTGTTTTGTTTTGACTTCTAGTGGTATATTTTCATACTAGAACCTTTTGCTCATCTTATAAGAATTTTCAGCTTTATCCCAATCTCACGGGATTGCAAGAGAAATCTCCAAATGATGCAGAAGTTGAAGATGAAAACCAACTTGACAATGATGTGGATGGTACTGATGATGCTGAAAAAGTAAAGGTAATAAACCTTTCAGGAGTTGCATACATGATTGGACCTTGCACTTTGGTGTATGGAACAGAAAAATCCAAGATGCATCTCTGCAACTGTAGTCATGTACAGCTCTGTCATGCAGCATCTAGTACCAAATGACAAACCAATCAATAGGTTGTGTGCAGACTATCGATCAGGAGCTGCATTCAGACTAACATTTTTCTTTTCTTTATCTAAAGTTAGTACAATATCCAGCTACACTAATATACCTAGAATAAAGCTAGAATAAAGCTATAAGCATTAAAAGTCATAATATTTGATCCAGAATTGACATGTTCTTTTTTATACTTTCTTAAGTTGGCGGAAAGTAACCCTAGGCCAGGTTTCAGAAGGAGCTGCATCTTTCAAATTGCTAGATTGATATGTACACATTAGCCTACAGCTGTTTTGTTTTGACTTCTAGTGGTATATTTTCATACTAGAACCTTTTGCTCATCTTATAAGAATTTTCAGCTTTATCCCAATCTCACGGGATTGCAAGGGAAATCTCCAAATGATGCAGAAGTTGAAGATGAAAACCAATCTGACAATGATGTGGATGGTACTGATGATGCTGAAATAGTGAAGGTAATAAACCTTTTTATTTTGTTTTTATTTTTCAAACTGTTTAATCAATTTGTTGCGGAAAAGATAGCTCTAAGATACTTAGAAGAACTAGAGTGGTTGCACTTCTCCTGTTGCTTCTTCTGAAACATCCCCCTTGTTGACACCAAGCATGTTCAATTATAAAAGCTAAACCCAAAGAGCAGCTTATAGCAGAGAACTGTTCAACCCATTCCTCTTTATAGTTCTCCAATCACACACAGTTTAAATGCTACATTGATCATCTCCCAGCTGCAAAGGTACAAATGAATAATTTAGCTTGGCTTTCTTCACTTGGACTGGTGTCTTAGAAGAAACGAAATTATAAACACCATTCTTATGAATGTTTCTCTAGTCGTTTGTTATGTTTACTGTGATAAAGCCTGTTTGTAAGGGCAAAACGTAAGTATAAATATATCGACTTTATTTTAAAATTCTATAATACAACATTGGATTCTCAACGTCGTCATGCATTGTTCCTGGCATTTAGCTTGTGTCATATTATTACTCATTGCAAGATTCACAGAATCCTGCAGACAGCTTATCTTGCATTTCTTCCTTCTTACATATCCTTATGTTACCTATCATCTGTTCATTATACCAGTGTTTTTACAAGCCGGCTAGCATAGAAATCATCATCATTAACTTTGATAACGATAGCTGAATAATTTTTATGCAGCTAAAAGAGATCCCAATTGATGACATCACAAAAATATATCTTGAAAATTTTCAATTTTGATCATATAACCCAAAACAGCATTATGAATTATATCTAAATGCACTTGTTGGGAAGACGAGTGAGCGAAAATCTTGACGAGTAAGGCAACCCTCCGTCCGAGAGTCAGAGAGTACGGGTAAAGCTAGCTTCGTTTCGTACCTATGTATAATTTATCCGTTAGCAAGCTTGAAATCTTTCATGAGCCATACCTCACCCCATTTGGAACACGTTAAACTCATTTTGCATTTTATGAAGTATTTTATCCCAATCTTTCATATTATATGATCAAAATTAAGAAATTGTAATAAAAGATTTTTGATGATGTCACATTTTGGTAATCTATAAACGCTAAAATAAGAGATATCGCACGGACAGTGTTCACTAACATAATGTGTGACAAAAAACTCATAATAAGATGCAACCCATTCTGTCAAATATAACTGTTTCCTTACTTCTTATTGCAATATCACCAGTTATCAAAAAGATGCTTTGCACGATTTCTGAAGATAATTTTATCTGCCTTTGTTGCTAAACATTGATCAAGTCCTAAGCCTACATCTTTCCCGGTTCTCCGTTTTCCTGCACAATTATGTCCCACTTCCACCGACTCACTCCTTTAAATTTTCCATCCACGAAGTTCTTGGTCTGTGTTTTAACCTCTTCCTCTTGAAGATGTCAAAAAATTCTTCCAGCTCGTATCCACAAACTCTGGTTATCTCAGCCTTTTGTTGCTCTTCTTTAACTGCTGATATTTTTTGCATTCTTATTGTCCAATGCTCAGCTCTGACAAGCGTAGAGTAGCGTCACCACTACCACCGATCTCATTAATAGCACTTTGTTTTTCATTTTTATGTTTCTCGCTCTCCAAATATTGTCCAACTTTGCTAGGGTATTAGTAGCCTTCCTAATTCTGGCACAGATTTCAATTTTTGTTGTTTAGCTGTTAACTGTTTGGATTCTAGATAAGTGAAGTTTTTCGCTAGTTCTAGTTTCACACCTTCTAGTATCATATCGACATCTAAGTCTTCTGCTTCTTGTTTTTCCATGACTTCTTGACTCCCGTTTTAAGCTCTTTGTCATCTCCTGTAGTCCTTCTTCGCTTCTTCTAAAAAGTCAGTGTCATCAGTAAAAGCATAGGTCTGTTATCCTTCACCCCGCACATCTTACTTCACCTTGGTGGTCGTCCAGCACCGCCTACATCATTTTTTCAAGAGACAAGTTGAATAAAACTGGAGAGAGCAAGCATTCTTGCCTTACACCAATTGCTATTCGAAACCATTTATTGAATTGGTCGTAGCGATTTTCGATAAGAATATTTAATAGTCATTTCTTCACCAATGTTATATATTCTCATTATATGCCATGGTTTTCTTTTTCTGAAACGATGTCTATGAAATTGTGATTGATCCTATTTCCCGAATCCTTTGATTTTCTCATTAGATATTCTCAACGTTGAAATTTGTTGAACATTACTCCATCCTTTTCTGAAGCCAACTTGACTTTTACTCACAATCTCTTCAATTCTGGGTGTTATCCGTTCTTGTATGACCTTCGACATCACTTTTGATGCATGGCTTATCAGACTTATAGTTCAATGGTCTGAACACTTTCTGCTGTTAGTTTTCTTCGGTACAGTAATGAGTATGCCACCTTTCAGTTTATAAGGTTTGGTTGTGTTGAACTTTGCTATTGAACTTTTGCTGTACAATCTGTGTTGAACTTTTGCTGTGGTATTGGCTCCACCTTGAATTATCTCTGCACTGATGTTATCTTCACCAGGTAACCTATTTCTTTCAGTTCTTCAATTGCCCACTCTACTCCAAAAAAGTAGAATTTCCTCTTCTTCATTAACATCATCATCCTGTACAGGCTCAATCAGCACAGTGAGATCCTTCTGTGTGTCATGGTTGTACAGTTCTTGAAAATAGTTTTTCAATCTGTTTAAAATTTCGTAAGTCTTTGTCAGTAAATTGCTTTTCTTGGTTTCTCTTCCATGTATGATGCACCATTTAGCTTCTTTGCAACCTCGTACATCTTTCTTCTGTTACAATGATTTGTGTCATTTCTTTTTGTGTCATCGTTACCAAGACGTAGTCACTTCCAGTATCTGGTTTGTTGAATGCTCTTGTTCTTGCTTGTTGATTCCTGTGACACTCCTTCTAGATATGAAGATGTAGTTGATTTGGTTGTGGAGATTTCCGTCTGGATGGTACCACGTTGTGTTTATTGATTTCTTCTGGTTGAAAAGTGAAGCTGCTGCCGTTAGTTGGCGTCCTTTTGCAAAAGAATCTTTATACTATTACCTTCAAACTTTCGTACCGTTCCCTTCCATCTTTCATATGCATTATATGCCAGTTTAATTGCCATGATACTTTCATTCATAGGCATGCACTCCGGGATCGAACTTTTGGTGTTTTTCGTGTTTTTGTTGATTAGAGATCCCACTTCGTGGATGTTCTTCTGAAACAGAATTTGTGTCCAACTTCGGTCATTCCTGGATACCCAGGATGTCCCATTCCAATTGATCCATCTCGGGTACCAGAAATTCCATCTTGCCACTCTGACTCAGAGGCCTTACATTCCAGGTGCCATTGACCGTGTTTTTGTCCCTACATTGCTTCTCTCCATTTCAGCTCTAACTCCCCTTGATTCATGGAGGGAAGTAAACTTTTCACTACCCTCCATGAATCGTCCAAAGGGCAGCGCAGTCGTTGTTGACCCGGGCCCAGACATGCCGATCTCTACGTGAAAATGAATGAATCTCCATCTACTATTTGAGCGATGATGTCAAGACTTCGAACTCAAACTCAAACTCAAAACATTTCATTCACAGCAATAATTAACTACTACATTTCTATTTAATACTTGAACCACAAATAACAATTATTTTTTACATAAAAGAAAAACTACCAACAGTAGATAGTTTCGGAACAAACAGTAGACAGTTAGAATGGTTTCGGAGAATACACGATGGTAACTTCTGACGGCAGACAGCAGTTTTGATTAACATGTACATTTAACTGCAGCTAAAATAAGCACTGTATCAAAAAGCTAACTCTGACCTTACTCAATGGTATACAGAATTCACTTTTGGTAGAAACAGAAAAACCTATAGGGTTATCATTATCATGATCATTTTTCCATCATTTTCAACTAGCGAAATCACGTTACAAATCTTTACCCGTTGATTTAATTTTCCATATCAGGAAAACAGGATACCTAAAGAAGATGAAAACGTCAGTGTAAGTGTTGGCATTTGTATCTTACATTTGCTTTTATATATTACATACGAGCAACCCATTTATACGGGCATAATGGGAGGGGTCAACATGACACATATAATGGTTCTTGACCGTAACGGATTAGCGTGCCTTTAGCCAACGTCAATGAAATATAGCTATATTTTACTTGTGCCCTTAATTTGAAACCTTTCCAGTTGTACACACAGTCCTGATTTCCTCGACTAGTAAGAAATGAATTTACAAGGGTCTGTTTATGCTTAAGAATCCAATGCTCTCAAATACAAGAGTAAACTGGTAGTTTAATGCTATGGCTGTCAATACGTATCTAAATATTGAGCAGAAAAAGATTATAAGAGTCTTTTGGAATTACCCGGTCATGGTTAGCTGCATTTTGTATTAGACCATAATATTTACTATGATTACCAATCCGAAACCACATACTGCAATGTTAAATTCGAAACAAAACTAGGAAAGGGTAATGATGGTTTTCGTTTCTCTTGTAGGATTCTCCCAGCCCCCTTGTTAGTGCTAAGGAAAGGGGGCTTGAATAAATAACAGTTTACGAGTGTGCAGGGAAACGAAAAATTTTATCATCTTTTCTAGGAAATTGGTGTGGTGCCTGTGATAGCAACACTATTTGCTATGCTAGCAATATTGCTATATATATTTTGCCCGATTCGTGGCGACGATCAAATTTGTCCAGAGGTACGTGCATTCAAAGACAGCCTTGCTGTTTTGAAAAGCAAGTTTCCAAGCCAAAGCGAGCTTATATGGGAAGCAGTTGCAAAATTAGGAGGCGATCACCTAAACGAGGTTTATAATGAAACTCTTGAAGGGCCAAATCGACCTCTTGTTTTCGTCTTTACCAGTATATCACGGAATAAAAAAACCCTTAATTGTCTTGCTAGAAAGATCGGAGAAACTTTCCAGGCTGATAATACACAAATTGGGAATGTTGTTTCTGGTAATGAAATCGCAACGTCTTCTAACCAGAAACAAGCTCTCGATGAGCGCCTCCGCTCTATCCTTGATGAATCAGATAATCACAGAGTTGTCATCGTTACAGAGATAGATTCGCTTTCATATGAGGTTGCTTCCATATTTTTCAAATACTGTGACAACGAAGGAGCTCCTTATCCGCGGGCAGTTTTCATTTTCACGTTAACGATGGACAAAGAGGATGATTTTTTGCAACAGAGCAGGAAAGAGATTACGCGAGAGACCCGTGAGTACTTGAGTGAAGTCGTCTTGAAGGATGGCGATAAAGCACAAATAGATGCACTGATCGCTAGAATCATGGATCCATTTCCTTTTAAAGTTATGAATGAAAAACATGACGTTTGTTCTGACTCGTAATGTATGGACAGGTTTTGCTATGGTTTAAGTATACGGCTTGCTAAAAATTTGATTGGACTGTTTCTATAAGATTCAGATTCGTTGTACAATCGTCAAACTTCTAAACAGTAAATGAACTCGGAAATTCAATAGCTTACATTCAAAGCTATGTAGCTGAAATCTATACGACTTGTAGCATATTATAAACATGTCGCTTCACTTCCGGTTGTTTAATTTATTTTTACTCAGGTTAACATAAAATATACACTAATGATTAATCTTAATTTTGACTTGTAACTTCCGGCTACTTTATAAGTATATTTATCCCCTATTTTCAAGTGTTTATCTAGGTACTGAAAATAGCTTATATGGAGCAGTTGCCTCCATATATAACGTTTTTTGGCTTCCAAAAAGTGTGGACCCCCATTTTTTCCTAGTCCAACTCGCTTTTGCCCCCTCAATCTAACCACCCTGGCTACTCTACTGGAAATAATTTTTAGGGTTTTTGATATGTAAGTTTCTTATGACCAGATATCGCACACAATCGCTAGTAGGGGGCGGATCATGGAGATTTCTTGACGGCGACCACACCCAACAAATTCGCCCCACCCATTATTTTTTGCTCGCGATGCTTGATATTCAAAGCCTTCGGTAAAACAATGGCATGCATTTCCCTGACAATCCAGAAACATTTCTACGAACAGAATTTTGTATACCAGTGGAAATGATATCTTGCATGCGGTTTGTAATGTACCTTTGAAAAGAAAATTTATAGTCCCTTTCATCTTATTCTTTCTTCCTTACTTGCACCTTGAACTCAATAGAAGCGCTATATCTCTGTTTTGTTGGTGTTAGGCGATAAAAAATATTTGCAACTTACTTGTATTACTTGTATTATCCTTTGTTTACATTCTGCCTGCTTTGTGTTCTTGATTCTCTCTCGGCGCTACGAAAAGAGAGGGATAGAGGATATAACAATTCATATTTGCAAGGAAAAAAGATGAGTGACTTCGAAAACTGTGGGGTTTACAATGCACTCGATCTTTTCTCAATTAACAGTAACAAAAATTCACTTTCACGCATTGAAAATACTAAAAAAAAACGAAGCACCATAACAATGCGAAACACGAAGATGTTTTCAAACAAGTTTGAGAAAACTGAACGTGTGGTGAATGGCCTGATCCAAACTGCAAGATTCCTTCTATATTTTCAAAAGGGCCCACGCGTATGGGTTTAATACCATTGGTATGAGCATGGTTCCTTTCTGTTGAATGTAGCACATGCATTTAATGTAATTGCAGTAAAAATGGTATCCATTCGTAGATTTTCAATTGAAGCTTGTACCCTCTCCTTTCCATATTTGAAGAATTATTCAGATGTTTAGTTGCTGCTTAAACAAAGAGTAATATAGGTGAAGAAGTTTGCTTAATTTTCAATTTTTACGAATGCAGTCAATCGCTGATTATAAATTTTGACCATTTTGCGAAACCTCAGTGCTGTATACTGCTTTTGACCATCGAGGACTAAAAGCGAAACGTGGTCTCATCTAATGTGGTTTTTTCAAATATAACTGTTTCTAGAGTGCAGGAAAGTAAAACTTCCACTGTTTGACGCAGATTGTATGCAACACAATCTTGTGCGTACCAAGCCTCTTCTGTTTGGACTTTGAGTAGTAGGATGAGAGTAGTTTAAAATTTCATATGAGAATAGCCGGTAAATGGTCAACAAGGAACAAGGTTGCTTTCACCATGTTGAATTTTTTCAGTAGATGTGAACCCTGGGACCCGGGGCAAAACTTTCAATTTATTATCAATTTTGTGTACCGCGAACAGTTTGATGTACCACCAACATCTTAGTTTGATGGTTTTGCATGGCAGGCCCTTAGCTCTATCCTATATGCGCACGCATTTGAAGTCTTGACAACCTATGTATAGTGAAACTGAGTTCCTTTCTGCGAAAAAGGCCTCAAAAAAGCAAATTACTTTCTCAAAAGGGCCGAGACCTTTAAGGTTCAGAACAGTCTAGGCCAATAAAGGAGAAATATATCTTTCTTTTCTACCATGTTTGACTGAGGATTAGCCAGATATATCTGTGCCGTATGTAAAACAAAGCCTTCATTTGAAGAATTTCGATTCGTTGCTTTACAGATTACACTTGAAAAAATTTCGCAATGATAAAGATTATTTTATGAAAATGGGATACTTGTCTTGTGAAATTGTGCGTCTTAAAATGTTATTTTCTCTTGTCAACGATAAGCTTGAGGAGCTAGATGAACAATAAACATATCAGCGTCCTCAAAGCTCGTGCCCAAAGATCCTCACTCATCAGTGTTGGTTTTTAGGGGGCAAGGGTAGCAAATTCCTCCTTTTAGAGACAAAAGCACTTGGCACTAAAATCTCTGTAGCAGCTTAACCCTCTAAAAAAACTTTCTGGATTCGCCCATGTTGCCCGCACAACTTTTCAGTGCTGGCTTCGTGCCTGCAAGACAATATGTTTACTGTGCTTTCAGCACAGTAAATTTTTGTCAATACTTCGACGAAAGCCCAAACTTTCCAACAAGAACGCGATTCGACGGCCAAACCCCCTTTTCCCTCGTAATTTCCGCCACTCTAACTGCCTTAGAAGCTGCCTTGATTTTCATTCACAATAAATAGAAGCATACTTGCACACCAATTCATGTTTCTTTTGACTTTCTAATCCCTTTGTATGTTTGAACTTTCCACTTCGATATTCGAGAATGTTATCTATCTATTTTTGACAGATAAAGTAGGGAAAGTTTAATTAAGGGACGTTTACAGGCTCATTACTAACTGTCTAGTTTGGGAAGCAGGCATAGTCTTTGCTGAAGATGAGAAAAAGAATGGATCCAAAGTATGACACTTGCGGAACTCCAATTTTTGCTTGCAGTCTGATATCGTAGAGAACTTCGATTCTAAATCAATTTAGGCAGACATGTCGCGTCTCCTACCATTTACTACGGGTTTCTTTAATTTTCATGAAGATTTAACACAAAATGCTCTAAAAGACCAGCTTCCTAGTTTTTTAGCATTAGGCGACAATTTCTAGATGCCTAGTAGCTTTTTCCGATACATAACAAACCGCTATGATAGATCCTCATTCTGCTTAGAAATCAGACAATCCTGCCCAAAAGTTATTGGCAAATCGTAGTATTTTTGGAAAAATACGCTCCCTGCCCCCCCCCCCAGCCAATATTGATATGCCTATTTCTACTCTTTTCGATTATGGTTACTTGGGTGTTTTCCAAAAAACCAACATTGCTGCAAGGGTGGGGGAGTGGGTTGATAATATTATTGGGGTCAAGTTGCAATTTTAATGGTTTTGTTTTTTTCTCTAGTCCACTAACCTTTTGGCCAGGATTGTAGATAAACATTGCCAATGCTGCAAAACGTCACCACAAACTCACTTTCTCCGAAACCATTGTACTATTTGCAAATATTGTTGAGCTGACCGTTAAACACTGAAGACGACGAACACTGAACAGGTAACATGGAATTGATAATATTTCTTAAGGTAACACTGGTATTGCCAGGCACGAAAATAAAAAGGGGCGTAGGGGGGTGACGCCCCTCCCCCCTAAAGTTTGGAAAATCCAATAACAGTCGGAAACTTAACAGTTTACTTGATTTTTTTCTTAATATCAAACTTGTGAATTACAATGAGTGGACCCATTCACTGATCGTTTTCTATTGTAAATCCCTGTACCCACTGGATCATAAACTGCACCATTGCCCCGTTTATTTTCTTTTTGACTGGAGTTACGTTGAATTAAATCATTTTGAACAGGCAAGGTGAATTTCCGGATGAGAAACTTGAAATTTTACAATCGGTATTGAGCCTAAAGTATCAACGGTATCTAATGCCTCCTTGAAAAAGAGACTAAATTTGCTTCTCTACGATTTGCAGAGTTCATCACGCTTAAAGCAAAGATGTTCATGTTTGCGGGGTAGTTTACCCAATACCCTGATTCCGCTCCAATTTTTTACAGCCACCTGCCCTCTGTAGCCCTGTGCAAGACCAAGACCCTGCTGCAGAGCATCTATTTCCGTGACGAGACTGTAAATGTTGACATTTCCTTTCTGTTTTCAAAGAAACTGTATTTATAAAGACAGGAAGTAGGCGGCACTGCGTTACAAAGCTATATCACCCCGATGTTGAACATTCGTTTTTCAAGAAGGATGCAAACGCATAATTTTATCGCTTTGATAGAAATTATGTGATACTCCACGTGCAGCACTTGCCAGAAAAACGAAATTTAACAGAGTTGGACGACATTTCCACAGCAGCACACGTGTATCGAAGCTGAATCAATTTTCTTGTGCTCCCGGTAAACAGTTAACTGACTGGATTTGCTTGACAATTTGCAATATACCGCTCAAAAGAGCATGGCTGCAGTAGAAATCGAAGCAACGATTCTAGTTGTAATCTTCTTGGGATGCCTGATCGGGAACTGCATGATGTGCCTTGTTGTTTTCAAGGATCGCAAAACCAGACCACGTATTTACTCACTACTTGGCAATCTAGCAATTGCAGATTTGGGCCTAGGACTTTTCTGTATGCCGTTTACAATCATTACCTTGCTATCGAGAAAATGGATTCTTGGACCTAAACTCTGTCAGGCAAACGGCTTTATGAATGCATTTTGGATACCAGCAACGGTATTCGCAACAACAGGCATCAGCATACACAAATGTCATTCTATGTATCAACCTTTCAATCCCAAGAGAACCTGGAGAATAACTAAAGTATTTGTCACAATAACTTGGTTGTTATCGTTTGCCTGTGGCCTAGGGCCATTACTTGGCTGGCATAAGTTTACCTACAATCCTTCTTCGTCTCAGTGTGGATTAGGGGTCTCTGAAACAAAGGCGGATTACTCGTACATGGTATTCTTGGCAGTTTTTGTTTACAGTATACCAATGTTGTCAAATATAGTTTCTTTCGTGTTGCTGTTTCGCGCTGTACAAAAACACACTTTAAGAATTAGACAGAACGCTGTTCTGACTAGTAATAACACAAGCACCCAAAAACGCACTGCAGTTACTTTCTTGCTGGTTTTCTTGTCCTACATTCTGAGCTGGACACCCTTCTTTATCTACGGCTTGCTAAAAATCGCCGGAGTCAAGGGGGACCTTGCGGGGCAGTACCTTACGGTGGCATATCTCATGGGCTTTTCAAACACTGTACATAATCCCATCATATTTGCTTTCCGAAACCAGTCTTTCAGAGAAAGTTTTAAAGAGATAATTTTTTCAATTTTCGGACATTATAGGAGGAAGCTACGAACAATGACAACTGTCACCCTTACATCTAACTTTTCTTTTCAAATGTTTAACAAAACGGACGATGAGCTGTCTTCTGTTTGGTATTTGGCGGACAACAGTGAAAACACCGAAGCTGTTTCAATAGAATCAAGAGAAAGGGGAATGTCATTTGAAAGCTCTGCTCATGGAGTAACATTGCAAGCTGTGCGGAGGCATCAAGGCAGTATGATACAACATAACGAGCTTTGACCTATTTCCTGGAAATAACCCGGAATACCTAGAAATCAGCGATTGGCAATGATATTATCCTTGCAATAAGAGCATGATTTGTTCAAGTCAGAAAGTAACTATTTCATGGGTTTTGAAAAACATTTCTACTTGCCCACAAACAAATGTTTTTTGCTTCTTTACATAAAGGTGAGACTGCAATAATGTTTTCAGAACATTATGCGAAACAGATTTGCTTTTTAAATTCAATCTGTCTTATTACTTTTAAATCTAAGAGCTAAATGATGAAATAACAAACTGTAGGCAACCATGCAATCACGGTGAGCTAATTAAAAATTGTGTTTATATAAGTACTAGTTTCATTCGTAACGGCTATGATTTGAGTACGGGATGGTGCAATATGTTTTAGAAAATTACCCATGGAAACGCTAAAAAGTAGTAAAAAGAAGGTACAGGTATGACATAAGGCAATGTAGACGTTACGCCTGCGTAATATCTCTGTATGACATTCAATCATTTCAGTTGTAGCCAAAATGTAAGCTGTTTTTAGAAGCAACTTTCTCTAAAGCTAGCCATTGCCGAATCGAGCGCTTCCCAATAAAGGAACAGTTTCAAAATATTACTTTTTTCAAATAGAAACAGTTTAAGAAATACCCATTTTCAAATATAACCTTTTCCAAATGGCACCGTTTCCACAAACACCAATTTTCAAATAGAGCTATTTCGCCAAATAAAACAGTTTCCATATTGAACCGATTGCATAGAGAACCTTTCAAGTGAAACCTTTTGCAAATAGAACTGTTTCAAAATGAAACAGTTTCAAAATTAAACCGATTGCAAATAGACCCTTTCCGGATGAAACCATTTTCAAATAGAACTGTTTCAGAAAAGAGCTGTGTCAGAAAAGAACTTTTGCAAATAGAACTGTTTCAAAATGAAACAGTTTCAAAATTAAACCGATTGCAGATAGACCCTTTCCGGATGAAACCATTTTCAAATAGAACTGTTTCAGAAAAGAACTGTTTCAAAATAAAACAGTTTCCAAACTAAACCGATTGCAGATAGAACCTTTTCCGGGTGAAACCATTTTCAAATAGAACTGTCTTAGAAAAGATTTTCACATATAACTGTTTCCAAATAGAACCGTTTCAAAATAAACTGTTCTCAGAGTCTCTTTAGAAAAGCAGCCAAATTTGCTCTTATTTACGTTTTATTTTTCATGTTGATGATGAAAATTTGATTGAAAAAGTTGAAACTTCACATACGATGAATCTTCACGTAAGAATACTTTTGTACCAGAGGTCGAAATTTGAGTTCCTATCTGTGATAAATAATTATTGATAAATATCGTTAGCTTCAGTTGCTTGTTAATATCTGATTAACTGTCTGATGCAAGTCGACATGTGGATTCAAATCAGTATTTGTTTGCATGCGTGTAGAAGTCATTTCTAGTTCTCTTCCTGTCCTGCAAACCTTTAAAATGTTAAACTTCAAGAAAAACTTCTTAAGTTAAAGTTCACTATCACAAAGCAAAAATAGTTTACATCTACAATTTTCAGGATTTTACTTCTCAGCAGGTTTGCCAAGCTTGAAGAAGCTCAAAATGTCGTCAGGGATTGGGTTTGATGGAGCAAAAGTCTATTCGCGAACTTTCCTCCTTTAAATCAGTTTTCTGACCTTCAGAAAATAGCCTCTATTTATAGAAATAATGCCCAGGAACCATTTCCAAAAAAGCAAAATTATAATAACGTAATATCTCGAAGGAGGCAGCCCCACTTTAAGGATTCTAAAATTGTTATAGTAAACACCAAGATAAAATAAATATTTCATCTTGCTTACCCTCAATATGCACACGCTTTCAGCTTAAGCTATACCGTAAATACTCGAATTAGCCCCCTGGGGGCTTATTTATTTTTTATATTTTTGGATGGGGGCTTATTCAAGGGGGGGGGGGGAGCTTATACGAGAGGGGCTTATAAAATTATTGTAGCCATTAAGAAGACATTATTAAAATACCTAGTTTATTCTAGTAGGAATTTCTTTATGAGTATTTAATTAATTACTACCATGAGTATGGATTTGTTGTGGTAATCAATAAAACGCCATAAGCAACCTCAGATGGCAAAAATCATCAAATGGACGGGTCCAGTTCGAAAATTTACAGTAGCATTGGGGGGCTTATTCGAGTCGTTATAGCTTGCAAGGTAAAAAACTCTTTGTAATTTTTTGTTTGTGAAATAATCTATCAAATTCAGTGATGTCATTGATGAGGTGACCAAGTATAAATTTTTGAAAACTGAAACGTAAGGTAGCGCACAAAATGTATGAAAAGTAGAGACTCCTATTTCAGTATCAAACTCGAATGCTTTAACTCTAACTTAATCAGCCAGACATAACCATCAACGGATCATGCTGACAGACAGGCATAATGTACACTTAGGCAAGAATTAGCAGGTTTCTGATCTTAAAAGGACCAGGTAAATTTCATGAGCAGGTAATTATTCCAGGATTATAAGATTTCAGCTGAAGGCAAATAACGATAACACTCTTTTAGTGGAACAAAACTTGAAAATAGCTTTGAAAAAACCAAGTAAACTAAAGTTTTTTTTCTGACACTCTTCAGAATTCAAAACATCAGAACATAGATCGAAAACTGTACGCTATGAAATATATATACTCAGTTGTGGATCGAAATAGGCCAATCAGAAGCGCGATCACATGACTGTTGAGCACTCATCAGTGAATGGGCCGTGTTACTTTTTATAAGCTTTAGTACTCTTCTATATATGATGAAGTCAAGGAAATATTTGTGCTACCTGTAACATTCATCTACACATAAACTGAACATGTTTTGATAGAGGAAACATACAACAGTATCAACTTGTAATTTTTTGTTTAGAGCTCCCCAACTCCAGGTCCCCTCTTGTTAGGGTTAAAGCTTTCCAGTCGGCAACACTGTTTGCTACATAGCTTTGATTTCCATGCTTTTGAAAAAACATGATTTCCATTTTAACCACTCTCGGTGTGCTTTGACTTTCACAAGCTTGTGCTTTCGGTGTGCTTTGACTAAAAACATTCACAAGCGTTTGGGACTGAAGGCCTGTGGCCGCTATTGGGAGGTGGCCGCTAATCGGAGGTGGTCGCTATTAGAGGTTCGACTGTAGCCACAGGAAAAGTACAGCGCATGGTTTTTATGTCTATTTAATTTAACGCTGACCCACCGTTCTTATGTAGCACAAATTACAATAATGGACTCTGCATCGAAACATGGAAGTTTGTTGCGTTAAATAAACTTCCAATATCTACCGGATAGACACGTAGACAAATATCTACCGGAAGAGACAGACACGAATCAGTTAGCATTTTATGGACCTCTATCTTCGCAAAACATTTTCTAGGTTATTTGGACAACAGTATCAGCTATCGGCTAGGCCTTGCATCGCTACATCTTGAATATATTGCTTTGACGAAACAAGTAAATCGTGTAGATCCTACCTTCCTTAGTTCATAGTCGTAATATTTGCAGCACAGCTAATGACAAGCTTCCTCTCGTAGATTTCTTACTTGCAGAGTTGAAGATGTGCCAAGGTAAGTTTGATAACAACAAGTATGGCGCCAATTTAAAATTTCAACAGCTTTGGATCACTTCATCCAAAAAAATACTTTTTGTGCCCCCCCTGGGATTGCTTGATAAAAAGAAACTTTCTTCGTTGCATGAGGCTAATTCCCAATAGACCCTCAAACCATTCATCCGTCGCTTGCAACAAAAATATACACACAATGCTTCATTCCTTTAAATGGCCTTACACGAACTAAAAGATTTTATATCGAATATGGTCCTAGTTTATTTCGGCCATACAGTCCTCCCTGAGCATTCAAAAGAGCGGTATTCCAGCAAATTGTTAATCATCGGAAAACATATTGTGGATCAATGCACGATAAATTATTTCTTGCTCTATCCTGTGTTGTTCTAAACTAAACCAGATTTTAAATCTATATTTGCACTAAACGAGTGAAGTCAAAATAGCCAAGAAAAGAAAAACAAAGAATTTGATAAAGCAATTTCTTATTAAAACCAACATATTTCTTGAATTCATATTTCGCACAAGAACCTGAAATGTAGAATAAGTGAAAGAATTAAGGATACTGACTTTCGGTAGAAAATGCAACTAAAGCCAAATTTCATAGACGGCAGAGAATTAAATCAAAAATCCACTCTTCCTGAGGTAATATGCAGAATGTTTATTAGATGCAACTTTAGGAGAAGAATTAATTTTAATTTATTTATCTTAATTTATTCGACTGCAGATGGCATTGATTATCCAAGTTTCAAATGTGAAACTTACCTTTTTCAACAATTTCCTTTAACAAAATAAACATTGTCGATGACTATTCTTCCTGATGAACCAACAATTCCATCGATCGACAGCTGTAACATAAATTATGGATATTCTATTAATGTGCAAAACAGCGGAATTGAGAATACCACGATGAGATGAGGGAATGGTGAACCAGCATAAGAAAGAAGGACTTAGCTCAAAGATATGGGGTTAATAGTTGCCCAATATGAACGGGTTTTTTCTCAATTTCCCCGATACTAGAAAAAGTTTCTATACTACCACGAAAAACCTCTTCAAAATCCTGTGCTGTTGGGGATATTTCTTATTTCTTGAAGTGACAATGATTTTCTTTAAAATATTCATGTGTGAATGGTTTCATAGAAAAGCCAAAATTTAATATAGACCAACTGGCTTGATGTGGTCTGGTCAGATTCAAATTGGGATTCTTGCCCCTTTTTTACTAGCGATAACATAGACATCAGTTGATCTAGAATTTCGGACTTCGGAAATTGATGTCGGAAATTTCATCGTCGGAAATTTGCCCAATGGGAATAATAAAGTAAATCTAAGACAGGAATCGACAGGCTTGGAACATTTGAAATGGAACTTCCCATTGTCGCTCTTCGTTTCCTTGTACCAAATGTTTGGGAGAAGAATCTTTAGTCCTATTGTTTATTGCTATTGTTCTATCTATTTGTCTGAGCCAATAAGAAAGTGCATCAGATGCACGTGCGCATTAAGGCAAAAGCTTGTAATCAAAACATACATCTCATGACGCCTCACAGCATTTACTCGAAATCATTATACAGTGGAATCCCGATTTAACGAACCCCGGATATAACGAACTTCCATGTATAACAAACTTAAGTTTACCTCTGCTTGAAAAATGTGAACAATTTTTTTGCGGTACAGAATTTGAAAATGGCTTTGAAAAAAGCAAACATTTTACAACATACTTGAAGCTTTTTCGTCTGACACTCCTCAGAGCATAAAACGTCAGAATAGGTTCCGAAAAAACACGTTTGAAAAATATATACCCAGTTGTGGATCGAAATAGGCCAATCAGAAAAACGCAAGCACAAGACCGGTATAGTTGACCAATCAGTGCCGCAAGCCTAAAGAAAAATTACCAATGGAGTCCAAGAGAGAAAACGAACTCCTTTTGTCTACACAATGGCGGCTTTTCGTTTTTATGTAGATTGACTCCAAAACTGCTAGATGGAAGGACGACCGGGCTCTGCCAATTATCCGAAACATGTCGTCATTATAGAGTTTTGCACAATCTGGGTTGTCTAAAAGATGTTGACCAATGGCAGAATCACTTGTTTTAACAGTGTTTCTAGACCTACAAGATCAAGGAGGCTGTTCTCTTTGAGGGGCAGTTTTGTTTCGTATGTTGGAAGGAACATGCTGTTTTATCCTATCCCCCAATCTTTGGGTTGTGCGCCCTACGTAGCCAGAATCACACTGGCACGTAAATTCATAAATGACGGAACTTTTTTGTTTGGTAGGGACGCAATCCTTTTGAATGGATGGAAGGGCTCTCCTAGTGCTGTAAACAATCCGAGGATTGACAGCAAAGAAACAATTGGTTATGGCTTGCCTAATCTGACTCTCGAATTGCAAGGAAGTGTTACCAATCCATGGTAGTTTCAAATAAACTGGGCACTTTTGCGGACCAAACTTTTGAACAGCCGAAAAACTTGCGATCTTCTCCTTAGTATAAGATAAAATGACGTCTTCAGGATAGCCGTTGTCCAAGAAGATCGTTTGCGTCCCTACCAAACAAAAAAGTTCCGTCATTTATGAATTTACGTGCCAGTGTGATTCTGGCTACGTAGGGCGCACAACCCAAAGATTGGGGGATAGGATAAAACAGCATGTTCCTTCCAACATACGAAACAAAACTGCCCCTCAAAGAGAACAGCCTCCTCGATCTTGTAGGTCTAGAAACACTGTTAAAACAAGTGATTCTGCCATTGGTCAACATCTTTTAGACAACCCAGATTGTGCAAGACTCTATAATGACGACTTGTTTCGGATAATTGGCAGAGCCCGGTCGTCCTTCCATCTAGCAGTTTTGGAGTCAATCTACATAAAAACGAAAAAGCCGCCATTGTGTAGACAAAAGGAGTTCGTTTTCTCTCTTGGACTCCATTGGTAATTTTTCTTTAGGCTCGCGGCACTGATTGGTCAACTATACCGGTCTTGTGCTTGCGTTTTTCTGATTGGCTTATTTCGATCCACAACTGGGTATATATTTTTCAAACGTGTTTTTTCGGAACCTATTCTGACGTTTTATGCTCTGAGGAGTGTCAGACGAAAAAGCTTTAAGTATGTTGTAAAATGTTTGCTTTTTTCAAAGCCATTTTCAAACTTAAGTTCTGGTCCTTTGAATTCTGCCTAACAAACTCCTTACAAATTTTCTCGATATAACGAGCCCTGTATATAACGAACTATCGACATTACGAACCAAATTTTGGGTCCCTTCATCATAATTACCCTCGATATAACGAAATTTTCATACTTTTTTGGTCTGTTATTTCTATTCATTTGTTTTGATGTTCATTTATCACTTTCTCTTGGAGGAAATCATTATTGTCATCGGTAAAACATGCTGATGATACATTTCAAGCCCTGGCTTATAGGCCCAGAGCACGAGATGTACGTTTGATTGCGTCAGGAATTACTGCAAATGAGTACATTGAAAATAACGGATACTTCTTTACGTAGGAGGCATTGGCAATGAGCGACGACAAAATTTTCTTAAGAGACCCAGATGGAGAAGTAGAAGAAAAAAATAAGAACATGAAGTAATCGACGACGTTATTCAGCCGCCAACTGGAAATGAAGCGACCTCAGCTTTGCCAATGTCTGGGTACCAAATTTAAAGAAGAGCATAAAGGTCTTCATTATCGATGATTAACCATTAGTAATATTTGAATTCAGCTTGGTTTTTTGGAGTATGATGTGCACAGAAGTTGGAAACCTAAACAAGCCTACCGCAGGTTTTTAGGCGTGAACAACTGCGAAAGGACTAAAAAACGTTTTCTCCCGTTTTAGTGAATCCCCCATATAATAAACTATCTTGTGGCTCCCTTCAGAATTCGTTATATCGGGATTTCACTGAACATCTGAATTTAATCATGTAAACCAGAGTTTCATTCTCAAACTTCTCATGGAACCTTTTTCTCTAATTTTTTTTGTCGTTTGATTCCAGACTGGGTTATTTCCATTAGAACTGCGAATGTTACTATCATAGAATACATTATCCATTGTCAATAGAACGTCATCGGTTTTATCTGTGCTTTTGCATAAGATGAAAGGTTTTGAAAGCCGACGGACCTTTTCGAACAAATGCTGGTTCGTCTCCCCAGCAAAAAAGACCAAAGTAATCTGCTTACGACAGAAGACTTTAATTATTCATTTGCCTAGAAAAGAAAACTACTTTGGAAGATAGGTATAATCTTTTCACCTGTCTTTTGTCATCAACCTGCACAAGAACTTTTCCATTGACCCAAGTTCCACTTCCCTGAAGTGTAGCTTTGACATTTTGGCCTGGAGTCTTGCTGCTTGTACTTGGGTAAATATCTTCGACAATTTTTATGCTTCCACCATTTCTAAATAATCAAAGACTAAAATAATGTAACTTGTTTATGAATCATTTTATTAAAACAAAGACAATAGACATTAAACTAATGACATTTTAATTCGCATTTTACATGCTTTATATTGGACTGAAATTTTTTTAGATTCACAAAAATGTTTGATTAATAAAAGAATTATCTTTTTCCAAAAAGAGATGCCAAAAGCAACAATCTGTTTTCTCTCTCACGAGCCCCTCCCTCTCACGAGCCTCTCCCTCTCACGAGCCCCTCTCTCTCACGAGCCTCTTTCTCTCTCTCACGAGCCTCTTTCTCTCTCTCACGAGCCTCTTTCTCTCTCTTCACGAGCTCTTTCTCTCTCTCACGGCCTCTTTCTCTTCTCTCACCGAGCCTCTCTCTCTCTCTCACGAGCCTCTTCTCCTCTCACGACGCCTCTCTCTCTCTCTCTTACGAGCTCTCTCTCTCTCACGAGCCTCTCTCTCTCTCTCTCTCTCTCTCTCTCTCTCTCTCTCTCTCTCTTTCTCTCTCTCTCTCGACAAGAAAATATTAAATGCATATTTTTCTTACCCTGTTTGGAAGCTGAAATGAAGACACATTGCACCGATGTACATTTTGTCAGCTGGCAGCACTAGTTCCCATGGGAGAATCAATTTTGCATTGTAGTTGTTCACAGTCGAGTCGACATAGGCGTAACTTGCTGCAAATATATGGAGTTAAACATCTCATTTATCAACAATTGTGAATTGAATCAAAAGATGTCAATTCAGATGTTGCAAAGTTTCAGTCATTTTGATCAATTTGCAAACAATTATAAAAAGAAACAAGTAGTATTCAAAATTTAATATTCTTCAGAACAAGATCAAATATGAAAAAGGTGAAACCCATTGCCCTAGCCATTTCGACTACAACTGAATAGAATTAAAATTTAAACTGACTTATAATTTTTAAAAAAGAAACATTTGTAACATATAACAAAATATTTTGACTTTCAGATTGAAATTTTTATTGTCAGTGATTTGTTGTTATCCTAGATCTAAAAGATTGTCAAACTATGCATCCTAGAAATATTATGTAACGCGATTTTTGTCTTGGACGAATTTTTATCAAACACTGGTTCATAAAAAAATTGGTTATCTTCAAAATCGGTTGGCGTTATTATTATTATTATTATTATTATTATTATTATTTGTTATACCACCGATATGTGCTATCCAAAATTTCCTGGAACCTGACCATCGCTGATTTAAGCAAGACATGGGTGACAGAGAATCTAGACAATGTTGTTTCAAGCTTTGTTAGACAATGGCTCGAGCTGCCAATAAGTGCTTCACTAAGTAGCCTCGTCATTCCAAAATCGAAGTTTGGCATCAATCTCATTCTTCCATCTACCAAGTTCTTACAATGCCAAACAGTTATCCGCAACTCTTTAAGACTGTCCCCAAACCAAGAGATTCGCTCTTTATGGAAAGACTCTAGCACTGGTACAAACATACCATATGACGTTTATCGCAACACCAAACAAGTTCTCAAATCCATCCAAAGTGAACACGAAAACCGCATTGAAAACGTTCTTACATCTCAAGGATTTATTATCTCGTGCATCTTAAAATTTGCTTCTAAGGGAACTAATCAACTTTGGTCTAGTGTCCAGCAAAAGTTACCAAAAAACATTTACAACTTTACCATCAAATACCTAAACAACACTCTTGCCACTAGGAAAAACCTCTGCAAATGGTCAATTACTCAGTCATCTGCCTGCTCTTTCTGTCAACAATCAGAATCATTACAGCACATAGTCTCTAGCTGCAAGAATTATCTTGAACATGGTAGGTATACCTGGAGACATGATTCTGTACTTCTATATTTGGCTAAAATCCTTTCAACACCTAGAAACAGCTCACTTTACGCCGACCTGCCTTCATTTCTATCACCTTCTTTAATCACAGGCGACTCCTATCGACCAGATCTTGTCTTCGTAACTGAAGATCGAATCCTTTACATGCTAGAGCTTACTGTTGGGTTCGAAAGCAACATCGACGAAAACAGTACACGAAAAGCTAGGAAATATAGCGACCTTATCAAGGAACTGAGCCCTGCCTATAAACGTGTTACCTTTGTTAACCTTTCTATGAGTGCCCTTGGCATTCTGGGAACCTCATCTACCTCTCTCTCTGACATGCTACACCAACTTAATTTTGACTCAAATCAAACTAAATCCATCTTGATGAAACTCATGAACATTTCTATCCGCTGCACCTACTATATCTTCTGTCGTCGAAACAAACCATGGCTAAGCCTCGAACTAATTGACTTTTAAATATTGTAATGCAGATAAGCCAATTATATGATGCCTGTAAAAGCGAGTCGTATAATTGTAAATTTAAAATGTATTCAATGAAAATGAGATGTTTTAAAAAAAAAAAAAATTATTATTAATTATTATTATTATTGTTATTATTATTATTATTATTATTATTATTATTATTATTATTATTATTATGAGCAGTGGAAACTTGCGAATCAGTTCTTCCATTCAATTTTATCGAATTTCACTCTCCGTCAGGATTCGATTGGTGAAGCCATCATCCACATGAATGAAGTCATCTTTAATTATTGTAAAGACACATATGGGTTTCAAGAGAACAATTCAAACACAGGACTCGTCGAAAAGTATCAACATCATAGCCTCAAAAACTTGAAAAAAGATCTGAAATTACTTAAGGATAGTCATGCTTCGTTAGACGAAATACGATACGTCTCCCGTCTCTTACGTAGCAAACTTGCTAAGAAGACGTCTACTATCACTTCCTGCGAAACACTTGACCATGATCTTTCTATTTCTAAAAATTTCTGGGGTTATGTTAAACGCTTTCTACAAAAGAAACCTTCCCTTCTTCCATCGTTCTCGCTAGAGCGTTGCAAACAATTCTTTATAGAAACACTCTCTGCTAAGCATCCAAACAAACAGTTTCCCATTCCATCTTGGATTCCTTCCTTCAGTAATCCTACTCATCCTTTTCATTCAGATCCTCCTCCGTACCAAAAGATAACCTCCATTATCCGTCGCATGAAATCCTCTAGCTCTCCTTGTCCAATTGACAAAATATCAGTGATTTGCTTCAAACGCTGTCCTTATCTTCGCTCTTTCTTAACTGATTTGATTCGCTTAATCTGGTTATCTGGACATGTCCCATCGGAATGGAAAAAAGCTTGCACTATATTAATACACAAAAAAGGAGATACAGAGGATCCCTCAAACTTCAGACCTATCACTCTCCAATCGGTCCCACTAAAAATCTTCACATCTTGCCTCCGAGATTCTGTATTTGATTTTCTCAAACAAAATAGTTTCATAGAACATCAGATTCAAAAAGGTTTTACTCATCAGATATCGGGTACACTAGAACATACTGCGATGATGAGCCATATAATAGACAAAGCTCGAATAAAACAACGGTCTCTAGTCATAACATTATTGGATCTAAAAAATGCCTTCGGAGAGGTTCATCACAATCTAATCAAATCTGTTCTGTCTTATCACCACCTACCAGAAAACATCCAGTCCCTGATTTCTAGTCTCTACATAAATTTTAAAACCTCTATTATCACAGATAAATTTGTTACCCCTGCTATTCCTGTTAAACGTGGAGTTCTTCAAGGTGATTGCCTAAGTCCCCTTCTATTTAACATGTGCTTTAACACTTTCATTCAATACATAAAGGCAGAAAAATTCAAACAACTTGGTTTCTCTCCCCATAGCCAACCAGACTGTATGTTTACCCCAGAGCACTGGTTTCAGTTTGCAGACGATGCTGCAGTCATTACAAATGGGGAGAAAGAAAACCAGCTACTCTTAAACTGCTTTACAAGATGGTGTCAATGGTCTAACATGATTATAAGAGTAGACAAATGCACAACCTTTGGTATTAAAAAATTCTCAACACGCTCCCTACAATATCAGCCAAAGCTCTTCATCAATAATGAAATGGTCCCTCCTGTCATAACTGGAGAGTCTTTTAAGTATCTTGGGCGTCACTTCGACTTTAATATGAGCAACCAAGAACATATGTCTAAGCTCAGCTCCATCTTCACAGAACTCCTAAACCAAATTGATTCTTTACCTCTCCATCCAAAGAATAAGCTGCTTCTTTATAACAGCTATCTTCTCTCACAATTTTGTGGCACCTCACAGTAGCCGATCTATCAAAAACCTGGATCGTCGAAAACCTTGATAATCAAGTTTCTGCATTTATCCGCCGTTGGCTCGATTTACCCATAAGTGCTACTTTAAGTGGCATTATTCTGTCAAAAAACCAGTTCGGTCTTAACTTGATTCTTCCTTCTGTTAAATTCATGCAGTGTCAAACTGTTTGTCGTAATGCACTGAAATCCTCTCCCAACAAAAACATCCAATCTTTGTGGAAAAATACCAGCCAGAGCATGAACATCCAATATGATGTTTACAGGAATACTAGAGAAGTATTGAAGGCTGTTAGATCAGAACATAAAGAGCGCCTTCAAAACCATCTTGTATCTCAAGGTACCGTTCTTTCCTTCATCTTTGACCACTCTCTTCCTATAGCCTCTAAAATATGGACCACGGTTCAAAGCAACATGCCCAAGAACATTTACAGTTTTACTATCAAATATCTTAGCAACTCCCTTGCCACGCGAAAAAACCTATCTAAATGGAACATTACTCAGTCGTCCGATTGCTCTTTTTGCCATATGCCAGAAACGTTACTTCACATTGTTGCAGGCTGCAAAACATACCTCGAAGAAGGCCGTTACACATGGCGCCATAACTCTGCATTGAACTTCCTAGCACAATCTTTAAAAGCTATACCTAATTGCTCTCTTTGCTCTCTTTACGCAGACCTTTCAGGTTATCTCTCACCCTCTATCATAACAGGAGACTCTTTCCGTCCTGATCTACTTCTAGTCACATCTGATCATCGGCTATTCATACTCGAGCTTACAGTAGGATACGAAACTAACTTGGATGTTAATGCTAACCGCAAAAGAGAGAAATACTCGAATCTCATTCACAGCCTAAGCTCAGCCTATTCTTCTATCATGTTTGTTAATCTTTCTATCAGTTCCCTAGGTATCTTTGGTCTCTCTTGCTCCTCTTTCATCGACATGTGCAACGCTCTAGATATCAGCGAGAATCATCTCCGCTTCATGATCTCCAAACTATCCAACTTAACTATCCGTACTACCTATTACATTTTCTGCCGCAGAAATAAATCTTGGAATAATCCTGAACTTCTCCAATTCTAACGATCTCTGCTACTGACAACTTCTAAAACAAACAATGACGAACACACTTTTTTTTGTTAATTTCTTTTGTTTGTGCTTGTAATAGTCTTTTTCTTTGTAAACCCAGGCTAGCCAATTGCAAATTACCTTTGTAATAGTGAAATTTGTAATTGTAGTTTTAATTGAATTGAAAATGAAAAGTTTCCATTATTATTATTATTATTATTATTAATTATTATTATTATTATTATTATTATTATTATTATTATTATTATATCTTTATGTTATTGTCAAAATTGTTTCTGTTGCTTTTTGTTGTGTCCACTATACTGCTGGCTAATGCCTAGGCAGACTATTTTTGTTGTTCTATTTTCTTTCATAAAAAGTTTTAACAATCTCGCAGTTTTGGCTGAGTACCCATTTTTGACATTGTTCGATTACTAATTTTGCCTCCTTCTCTCCTTCACATAGTCTCTTGATATGGCACTCCAATTGCTTGCTGTAACAGCCTAGAAAGTCAAATACAACATTGATTTGATCTATTTCGTATCCACGATTTAACCGTTCCAGTGACTTTCTCATTTCAGAATACTTGTCTTGTTTTTCTTTCTCTCTCTTGGCAATACATCCAGGTGCACATATAGTCCCCTCTATCAAACTGACCTTTTTTCCTACTTTGTCAATTATCAGCATATCAGGCTTAATGGCATTGTTGCTTGGTCTTTTGTCTAAGTGCATCGGTATGTCCCACATAATCTTAGCACGATCATTTTCGATGCTTGCAAGAGGTAATGCTTGCTTGTACCATGGAACTCCACGATTATTTCCATCAAATTCAAACTTTGCTCGTATTAGATGATAAATAGGTCTTAACATTCTATCGTGTCGTGCCTTGTAGAGTGTTTGTGCTAATGCTGCACAGGAGCACAGCAAATGAACGACTGTTTCTTCTGCTTGCTTACATAGACTACATGTTGTATTTGCAGTTTCCATCTTTAACTTGTACTTTGAATACGCTTTGGTAGGTAGTAACTGTTGCTTTATTGATTCATTTGTCGATAAGACTATATCTGGGATGTTTTTCCAGCTTCGAAAAATGTTTCTACTGTTTTTTGATATTTCATCACTATCTAGTATTGAAACCGTGTAGAATCCTAACCAAGGTTGGTTTCTAACTCTTTCTTCATATAGTCTTTGAATGATACTTCCTAGTCTGCGTTGGATCTGTATATAGTTGTCATCTTTTAACTCCACTCTTTCCTGTTCATAGCTTAATACAGACTTTTCCTCTAAAAGGCTCAAGTCAGCTTTGAAATGTTCCTTTGCATACCTTGTTGCTTCAACAAAAGTTGACTTGAAGTTCTTTTTGCTTTTGTAATGTTGGAACGAGCGTACCAGCTTTATTCTTGGATCTTTGCTTATGTTAATGTGATGTGCAACCTTAATTTTTGAGATCTTATAGGTATCCTCTACAGACTTGAAGCCCCTTCCACCACATTTCTGTGGCAAATAGAGCATTGCTATTGATTCTGAGATGTGTTTTCCTTTATGCATCTCGACTACCTTTCTGCTTTTCCTGTCAAGATTTTGAATATCTGCTATCAACCAATTACTTGTCCCCATGAAGTATTCTAATGTAGGCAAAGCAAAGACGATGCAAGCTGTCTGTTTTCTTGGTACTGACAAGGGTGATGACCATATAACATTCAATCTTCGTAGATACTCTTTTTCTGCTTGTTGGAACGTGAACTTGTCCAGCTGTTCGAAATTTTCATACTTTCCAAGGAATTTGTACTTGTCGCTAGATTCCATAACTGAGATGGAATCCTTTGCTCCTATTGGTAAATCTTCGCTCTTTGATACTTTCCCTCTAACTACATGCAAAGAAGCACACTTTTCCAGGCCCCAGGACATCCCAATATCTTCATACATTTCCTTAACTTTCTTTGTCACGACTGATATTTTGTTCTCTGATTTTGCATAGAGTTTTAAATCGTCAACAAATAATAGGTGTGTTATCTTCATTGTCCTGTCGTGCGTCAGTTGGTAACCCTCATATCCTCTAATCGTCCAAGCTATTGGGTCAAGACATAGTACAAAAAGCCTGACAACAAAGCTGTCTCCTTGCAGTATACCTCTCTTGACATTTATTGACTCCAATTGTTCCTTTCCATTTACTGTATCGACGGTTATTGAGATTTTCCAGCCTTTCATTATGTTTTCTACAAACTTTATGATTCGTTTGTTTGTCTTATTCATTGATAACACCTTAAGAATCCAAGCGTGTGTCACGGAATCAAATGCTTTTCTTACATCAGTCCAAACCATTGATAAATTCTTTTTATTCATTTTTGCATCTTCTAGGATCATTTTGTCAATTAACATGTTGTCAGTGCATCCCATTACTCCAGGTCTACCTCCTCTCTGATCCATCTGTAGCGTCTTTAATGGTAGATATTCGCCTACGAGTGAAGTGATTGACTTGTACATCGTATTTAAGCAGGTGATGGGACGATGGTCAGGTGCTTTTGGTTGGAGCTTTTTTGGGTGTAGCCCACATCTTCCTTCAAGTAACCATGTGGGAATAGGTGTCTGCTTGTTAATCAGTTCAGTGACTGCTACCGATATACCTTCGTGTGTAGTTGTAAACGCTTTGAGCCAGTAATTCACTATTTTATCTTTACCGGGTGACGACCAGTTTTTTTTCGTTTTAAGCATATTCGTGAATTTCTCCTTTGTGATATTTACGATTTCATCATCATTGACTGCTGTTGACTGGCTAATGGCTTGCTCAACGTCTTTGATCCATTTTGCTTCCAGATTTACCTTCGATTCTTCGCTCCAAATTTTTGGCCAGTAGTCTTCAAAATCTTCTTTGGTAAGTGTTGTTTGGCTTCCGGTTTTGTCGCTTCTTGTCTTAAAACTCACATCATCCGAGTCATCGTTTTTCAGGATTTCTCTCAACGTGTTGTATACTTTTCTTTGGTCTGTGTCATATAGCCTGTTAATTTTGTTTCTCACGATCTGGCCTTTTTTCTTTTCCTTATTGTATTTCATTGATTTTACCACACTAATCTTGTGTTCCCTTATTTCCAGTAACCCATTTAGGGTTATTCTACCCTTCAGTTCTCTTTTCATCCACCTCCTGTTTCTTCTCATGTTTCTCGTAAGTTTCTTATTATTCTTTATTCTCTGTATTTCCTCGGCAATTTGTGAGATCTTGCCCCTAATTTTGTTCATTTTTTCATTCATTCGTTTTTCCCAGACTGGAATTCCCTTTTGCTTTCCCTGGCTGTTGCTGTTGTTATTCCCATCTTTATGATCGCATGCTAACTTCCATCCACAAATCGTTGCATACATTGCACAGTTCACATCCCACAGGTATTTCGTTGGTTCTTCCTTTGGGATATGCATTTCCAAACCCATAAGAATTCCTTGCAGGTCTTGCAGTTCTTTACATGTTGGCTTCTTTTTTACATATGTGTTTAAACCACGTCTACTCCAGTCCCCAGGGATTGTTTTTACATCAAGATATTTTTGTTTGACTTTTTCTTGTATTCCTTTGAAATGACTGTCTAGCTCCGCATCTGGCGTAAAGGGTGGATTTTCAATGCTCCTTTGTTCGGTTCTACATTATTCAATGCAGCATTGTCTTGTATTTGGCATTCTGTTTGTTCTATTATCTCATTTTGTATTGTCTGTTGGTCTGTTATTGTCACCTTCTCAATGCGTGCAGCTTGGTCTCGCAAGTTCTGTGCTGTTTTGCCTAAATCTGCGTAACCAATTTCTTCCCAAAAGATTTTTGTGAGCTCCATCACTCCAGTCTTTCGTCCATTTGGTTTGCGTGGGCAGTCAGCTCTTGTATGGGTACTTTTG